GTCAACAGATTTTTGGAGGGCGTTACCAACAGAGCTCATTAACATAAACAGCTCTTCTGAACKGAAGTCAGAGCAGGCAGAACTAGAAAATGGGAAATTTTATTATCTGAGAATTATTTTGTGCATTAAATTGAATGAGCATTGTCTGGATAGCCCACAGACATACCATAAAAAATTCTAGGATCCATAACTGGTCTCCTTTAAAAATAAATTACAAAAATTAATTTGACAAAGTGCAAATTAAAATATAGTTGTATCTGCAACTGTATTTGATAATGTTTTAAACTTTTAAAATACTGCACCAGAGGCTGCACTTCATATTAGTGACAAACTTTGGCATTTTTTCATGGATTACCTTCATTTTTGCTTCTACTTTTTATTTAAAATAGGTTTCCATTCTTGGCAGGTTTCTAAGGTTCTTCTTCTACGTATTACAAAAAGTTGTCAAACATCTGAGTGGTGCACTACTGCTACTAGTGGTGAGAAAGTGTATTGCTCCTTATTCAAAATCAATGCGRTCCCACGGCCCTCTGCGGCCCAAAGTTAAAAACTGTTGTTCTTTTGAGGCCCTAAAGGTGGCGGCCAATGGGTTAAGAATTTCTGGCTTATGATACTCAAAAAATTTTATACAATGCTAAAAAAAGAGTAAACTATTCTTTAATTTAACAGAAATAATTACATTTTCAGAATAAATTAAATTAATTCAAAATAAAACAAATGAAATTGTTCAAAACACAAAAATATTCAGGCTCCAGTAACATTGCTGAGTTCTTTCTGATCTAAGCTGCTGAACTAAGCTTCAGTTTTGAATATCTAAGCCAAGCAAAAGTGGAAATCTTAATCCTCACCGCTCCCGCTTCTCCACCAGCGTCACCAGCAGCTCCACGGTGTCGTTAGCCAGTTCTGTCTCGGAGCTCCACACAGACAGGTTGTTGATCACCTTCTCCAGCAGGTATCCCACAATCCACTGGGCACCCTCTGTGTCTGCACCAAACGCCGTGCTGAGGGGGATGCTGATCTGAGGTGTGGCAAGACAAATCAAGAGATGAAACCTGTGGCAGAGAAGCTCCAGCAGTGCAGATGTTGCAGTGAGGCTGCAGCTTTGTGGACCGTCCCACCTGCTCATAGAGCTTCTCATCGACCAGCAGGTACGTCTTGGCCCATCGTCTGAGGAACCACACAATGTCCTTTCCCATCTGTGGGCTCAGGAGCTCCGTCAGGCTCGCTCTGGTTGCCCTGGACTCCACTTCTGACGTCCTCAACACAGCAGACAGCAGCCTGCCACAGAAGCAGAAGCTATTTGAGATTTTAGGGAAGCTAAATGGTAAATGGTCTGTTCTTAATCCAACCAGGACACTCTTCACACCACAATCTGTGTCCTCATTTATCCATTCACACAGCGCTCCAGTAGATCTCTACAAAACTAACATGTACAATCAATCTATGGAGACAAATCAGTGCCAATCATTCATACACTGATGGGACACACATCAGAGGCAGCTCAGTGTCTTGCCCAGGGACACTTGCACCGCTAATTGTAAAAAAATTATTAAGAGAGACGGATGGTTGGAGAAAAAGGCAGAAATGATGATTTGTGTAACTCTAAAGGGGACAAAATTTATAGATTGAATATAGGAACACACAAATCAGCTGAACAGGGGAAAAAAGGTGTTTCAAGCTTGTGCTAGAGCTGGGYGGTATGACCTCAAATTCATATCACGGTATAAATTTAATCCCTTCACGGTAACGGTATATATCACAGTAGAAAATTATCATAAAAAGTTAAGATAATGTAATTTTTAGAGCTTTTTTTTTGCAGAAAACTGTAATCTTGATCTAACCCAGCATTTTTGCTTTAATATCTGCCTGCCAAACAATGAGCTTCTGCCTGCTGAACTTATCAGCTGCTCTGCTGCGCTCTCATCTTCATCATCAGAGCAGAAGCCGACTTTACATTAGCAAGATGGATTTATGACTGAAAAAACATCCACATTGTTTTTTTTATCATCTCTGTGAGTAACAATACATAAAAAAATTTTTTTTCTCCGACAATTGGGTGTGAAAAACTACAGTTGTTAAAGCTTCGCTCTGCACGACGAGCTGCGAGAGGGAGGAAATGATCCCACGACACAAATTAACTTTTCTACAGCGGGAGGTGGAAATTTTGAGGATTTATCCTCTCTATACGTGTTTTAAAACGCTATAATTTCTTCATTATATTTCAAACTCYTGCTCAGTTGTCTCTGCACTCGCAGCCCTGTTCACACAGGTGCGATGACGTAATGACGACAGGATGGTAGAGGCTAAATTTCTAATGTTGGCCAACTTCATACCGTTTCTACCGTCTACTGCATATACCGCGCAGCCCTAGTTTGTGCTTTCACATAAAATAAAATTAAATTAAATGACAATCTTCATCTGATCATCACACATGCAAACACACACACGCAGTGTGTAAAAGGACAGAGAGACAAACAGCTTAAAGCAGCTTTGGCTCCGTCTTTCTCTCTCAACAGTTTCACATTGTCTGCAGAAAACAAAACCACGCTGACATTTAACGGGCTAAAGTCGGACGCTCATTATTAGGAAACCTGATGCCATCAGCCACTCGTCTATCCTGCCGTCACACACACACACACACACACTGAACAATCCAGAAACACGGGGGCACAACGACCTTCAACAGACAATATCAGTGCCATCAGCCACTCGTCTATCCTGCCGCCACACACACACACACACACACTGAACAATCCAGAAACACGGGGGCACAACGACCTTCAACAGACAATATCAGTGGCTGTTGTGGCTCTGCATTGTCGTCAGCCTGATTACCAGAGGAGCATCCAGCTCGGCTGCCAGACACACACATGCCTCACAGATAATTGCTGCTGAAAAAATAAATCAGAAACTAGAGTTTCACTTTCCATGCTTGGCTAAATTGAATTATGTGTGTATTTTTAGTCTCTTGTGTTGTGCCAGCACTGAGGAAATCACAGTGTTTTGGATGTTTGATTGGCTAAAATAAAAGAACAAAATAAACCTGTTTCTGATCTAAAACTGGATTAATTATTACAGTGAAAGAAGTAAGAAAAATAATAAAAAAAACTCTTGATTAGGCTTTGAAAT